GAGAATATTTCTGATTCTAATTTATCCTGAGTTGAACCAAAACGTGTTATCTACCATAGGTACTGACACTGGAGGAAGCGTTAGAGTTCCTGCATCATATTGCGGGATTTTTGGTTTTCGACCATCTCATGGAATTGTTTCAACATCTGAAGTCATTCCTATGGCACAAAGTTTTGATACTGTAGGTAAGGAATAATTTACTGATGATTGAACACTCACCTGTGTTTTTTGTTGCGTGCCAAATGTCAGTAAATAGCACTCTGAGCTCAAGGGCTGACAATTTCTGTAACTCTATGAAATTGATGTTTTCCTCCAACAATGCCAATGATTGTCTTATCAAATTAAAATCAATGGAAGGTTTTAAATTGCTGCCGTAAAATGTGGAATGAAACAAATTGATTGAAAAGGCAAACCTCTTGTGAGCTAACTTTTGTTTCAAATTTTATCGTTTTACTGTTTCAGGATGGTTTGCAAGAGATCCTGTGATTTTGAAGCGTGTTGGAAAGGTTTTATTGAAATTGCAAGACGATAATCCTGTGAGATTTAGTCGTATTATTATTGCAGAAGATTGTTTCAAACTCTCAAGCATCCCATCTGAACGACTTATAGAAGTCCTCATTAACTCAATAGAGAAGCTATATGGAAGTATGTTGCTATTGTTCAAAATGTTATATTATTTGAGATTTGAAGTTTGCACAATACTTTTTAAGATAGAAAATTTATTTAGGTTGGCATCACAAAGCAAATATATTTGTCACTAGTGTACCTCATCTTTGTAGGTCAGAAAATAGAGTATGCAAGTCTCGGCAAATACGTTGAGGACAATGTTCCAAGTTTGAAGCATTTTAGTAATAATGGAACCAAAAACCAAGAGGATAATATACCATCATTGGTAGCTCTTTCAAGTGCCATGCGGTTGCTTCAAAGGTGCAAATTATGAACAAGATTTGATCGGAAATATGTTGGTATATTATGTTTTCTTTTTATCATTTTTGGGTGTCACGTTGATAATATTTCTGAATCGATTGACAAGAATATATCTTAAATTCTACACAATGTTTTCCTCATATATTTTGACTGCTTTAACAACATTATTATGAAGCTCAGGTATGAATTCAAGAACAATCACGGTGAATGGGTCCGCTCGGTTGAGCCCGATTTAGGTCCTGGAATAGCGGAGCGAGTGTTGGAAGCTTTCCAGACAACAGATGAAAAAATAGACATATGCTGTTCATTGAAGACTGAAATGCGCGCAGCTCTCAGCGCTCTATTGGGAGTATGCTTCCCTCTGTTTTTGAATCCTTCAATGATCCAAATTATTTATTGCTCATCTTATGATATTAGCAGCAATGCATTTATATCTACAACCACCCAAGTTTTCGTGTTGTAATGTTGGTATACGTCATTTACAAAATGAATAGGATTCTAGCATCTTAGCCATGCCTACAGTTCCCGGCCCTCCACCAAAGCTACAAACAGAGCCAACCACACTGGAAACTTTTCGTGCCAAGGCTTTTAGTTTGTTATCTGTTGCTGGAGTATCTGGGTTTTGCCAGGTTTTATCTCGTTTTTCAGTTCTTTATGCTTTTATTGTTTGCTATCATCCTTGATTAGTCATTAATATCGATGAAAACTTGATAAATAAACAGGTGAGCATACCATTAGGCACACATGATGGTCTCCCTATAGCAGTTTCGTTGCTGGCAAATCATGGTTCAGATGGATTCTTGCTTGATTTTGTGGAGAGCATTGACGCCACTCTCAAGAGGCAATGAACTGCTATATGAGAATTTTACGTGCTGAATTTGTTTGCATAATTGTAATTTCCACTCATCACCTTGCTTATATACTTCTAATTAAAGGTTCATGATAATTAAGCATCAAGATAATAAAACTACGTGAGTGAAGAGTGTTGGAATTACGGATAATTTTATAGTCGTGAATTGGAAAAGTCTCCAATTGGTGCGATGAGTAACCACTGACTCTTTAATTAGGGATAATTTTATAGTTGTATTGTTTCGGAATGGATGTGACTATTAAAAATGGTGTATGATGAAAAGTCCATATGTTTTGATAGGATGTAATCTAAACCATTAAATATGAAATTGTACGATCTTATGGCTAAAATAAATTTATGTCAAAATTTGCGATCATTGGACAAACACATGAAAATCTATAAATATGATTCTTCTAATTCCATTTTTTTCACTTCAAACCAATATCAAGTAATTAATTACTAATTCTTTCGTTCTCTAAATTATGTCAAAATAATTTTGAAATTATTTTTAAGTTACTTGTTCAATATTTAGTATTTGATATCTTCATTTCTAGAAGAGTACAATCAAGCGTTGGTTCACTCGTTAAAATTAATATTAATTTTGGAATAAGCGTTCTACGTTGAAAGAGAGACTGATGTCAGTTGGATCATGTTAGCACCAGTTTAATGGACGAAATCTGTATTGAGGAGATTTGCATTCACATACTTAGTTTCAATTCATTTTCTTTTAATTTCTATGTATTAGTAAGTCGTTTTTTGTTTAATTTAAATGTACATATCTTGGTTTCGATAAGCTAAAAATTTATCCAATATTTTGTACCAGTAAGTTACTATTGATCATATTTGCTTGCCTGTGATTTTGGTTTACGAAATATAATTTATGCACCAATTTATTCATCTACAGTTTTGTTACATGTACATCAAGATTGATATTATTGTGAGACGTCAACTTTTTATACATTAATTTTAACAATATTTTAACTAATTAATGATACAAATTTTGACACACTTTAAAATGTCAAACTTATTGTACACAACTAGTGTACAAGTAGTTTAATTCATCCAACAAAGAGCTCAATGTGTTCATGGATCATTCCATAATAATTCTTTGCAGACTCAGAGTTAATACAACACTTATGACTAATTAACTCTAATTTTTAGTCATGTCAGAATGTGCATTCTGACAAGAATAATGCTAGAGGCACATAATGATGCACATAATGGTGTATATAATGGTGATGTGTCAATCATCCAGTTGTTGATGTGTATGTGTGAAATTTGAATTAAAGGTTGGATCATATGCCACGTGTAATTATGCGAACCCTTATGTAGATGCTTATGTACTTGTAGCATTACTCTTCTGACAAACACGTACAATAGGCAATGGACAGTAACATCAACAATTTTGTCTTCATTTTCTTTTTTCCCTGCAGGGGTTAGTGAAGTTAATTTAGATGATGCTAACTGATTAAAAAAATTACAGCAATAACAGAATAAATTATAATTTCAAAGAAATCACGTACTTAGTTGTAACATGATTTTAATGTAAATTTACATGGAATGTAAATTACAATCACTGCAACTTATCAAGTATGGAGTTTTTCGAATTAATTGATTACAAATTATATCTCGATCACAAATAAAAAAATTTGTGACAGTGCTGGTCGTTGCTGCATATGCGAACACTGATGAGGTGTGCCTCTCGAACATTGGCTCGGTACGAACAGCGACAACACTACCTCACACGAACAGAGGTGAGGTGCAAAAAATGGCAGTGTCGCTTCTCGCAACTCTATGTGTTGCTGCTTGTCGACACTTTATTTTTCCTATGGTGATCGCAAATTGAAGATGTCGATCGATCGAAGGCATCGTGAGCCCAACTCCGACAATGCTCCGGTGGTTGTGTGTGGTAAAGAAAGGAGAGAATGGAAATATAGAGAGATAATGAAGAGATTTAGAAAGAGAGGAAAAGTAAAAAATGATTAGGGTTTGAAAAATTTGGTAGGGTGGAAGGACGTGTAGGTGGGGGTATATAGATTAATTTAATCGTGTAATAATATTATTAGTTCTATGTAATTTCCAAAAAGAAAAAAGAAAAAAACACTGCGAGCCGACTATGGCCCGATTATGGTTTGTGAACTGCGGCCCAGCCACGGCAAAGGGCTAGGGACCTAGACCGCGGTCGACCACAGTAAATTATTGTAATTCGGTTCCCCAAATTAATTTGTCCTATTTTGGTCCTTTTCTTTTCTAATCTTCAATTTTGATGCTAACACTTTCAAACTCTTCTAGATTGATCCTCGAAACTGCATAGTAGTTTGACATTGGTTCTTCTCAAGTTTCGTAAGTGTGCTATTTAGTCATCAAACTTTTCAAAAATTGAATTTCACTTCAAAATTTGCGATTTTCTTTCGATAGCTCTCATTTTTACTTCTAATCATTCACATGCCTTCCGATTAATCTTTAATTACATAGAACCAACTCCAAATTAGCTCAAAATCGTCATTTTCATGCCAATTACATTTAATTTCGATTTTTTTCCTTCAATTAACAGAATTACACTACATTAGGTTAAATTCGTTCAATTAGCTATAATTTATCAAGTCTAAAATCATGAATAAGTGTGTAAAAACACACTCACCAATAGGCTCAATAGAAAGGATATCATTTCCATAATTAATAGACAATAAAACTTCAGTACACTTTACTAGACTAACTGATAACATGGTGCAAAAAATATTGATAAAATGAAGATGAATTAATTTAAACACTAAGACCCTGTTTGATTGACACATTTTTAATGGAAAATGTCACATCCGAGGAAAAACCAATTCCATAGAAAATGTCACATTTGATGAAAACGAATTCGACTTTGGCCGTTTGATTACAACGTGAAAAGGAAAATCGAATTCCAAGGTACAACTACTTTAAGCTGTATTTTCTTTGTTTTCATGGAAAACGAATTCCTATGGGTTTGGTGAGTTTTTATTTTCCAACTAATATGAAATTTGAATTCCTTTCCACATTTGCATATCAAAAGGTCCTCTTTTAGATGAAATTGTAAAAAATATTGATCAAATGAAGATGAATAAACTTAAACACTTAGCTCTAATCTTTTAAAGTAGGTACCATCGATGTTTGTGAATCATAATTGATTTTTCATTTAAACTATTTTTTTCGAGATCAAATCGAAATAATTGAAAAAAAAAGGTACCAATAATCTTCATGTTAAGAGATATAAATATACAAAACATTCGCTACTGCTCAATATTGAAGACTTTCAGACTAAGTAATAATTTGCAAGTTCAATTCACATTGTCCACTTATATCCTGTTTGTAAGGTAATTGTGTAATGCTAAACAGCACTAAAAATGAAAAAGAAACTCACAATTTCCAGACATTTGGTTGTTTGATCGATTGGGTTTCAGAAAGTTAGTGGAGTCACATTATACAGTGTTAGGATAGGGTTATGACAAGATGTCATATAATCAATTTTTCTAGGATAGAAATTATCAGACTTCATCTCCTGTTTTTAGTGGGCAGGTTTATAAAAGTTCTCTTGTTACATCAACATGACGAAAAGTTCTCTTACCGTATCAACACTGTATACAAAGAAAGCATTTAATGAAATCAAGAATGCTATAACACTGTGACGTTTTTATCCTGCTCTCTGCCCAGGAGATCAATTTCATAGAAACTACAAATCAAAAATTGCCTAAAATGAATGGCATTTCCACCAAGGACCGAATATTCTTTATCATGTCAGGTGGGACTGTCTCGTTTGAAGGTGCTCCATCTAATCAAATGCACCAAATATCACCCAAACATTATCAATTTGAACCCTAGTGACATGTACATCACTTAGTAGGACATTGTACAATATGCTTACTACTTGTTGGTTTGTCCTTTTTGAGCTAGGATTGGTGAATATCACACTGTGCTACCTAATTCAGACCCATAACAAATCTCACCACATAAATTTAACTGATATTACTTTTATATCAACTATAAGGAAGTTTACCACTACAACGCGCATGCATACATGATCTCATTCGTCATGTGACTTAGATTATTTTTGATATATCCTTTTCAACATCATATCAACGTGAGAATTTTTTTGCCGACATGGTTTATTGGTTCCGGTATATTTGATATTTCTCTCTTTTATTTAATTTACGAAGTTAATTTCTTTGTAATATATCATATACTAAAGAACAATATATATAAACACATAATATTATCGTGTTCAATCTAACTTAAAATTTTTCCTGTAAAAGATTGTAGCTAATTGCAATCAAGGAACCAAAATTATATAAAGATAGCGTATAATTTAGTTTGTATAGCGCAAAAAGCTATTTGGAAATTTTCCACTACGATTTGATGCGTGAACTATATTTTAGAACTGAAATGACTATATTTGAATAGCAAAAGTAGTCTTCTATTGTTGTGAAGTTAAGATGCTATTTGACAAAGTTTTTGATAAAAAATGATGATCGAAAACTTGATAAAAGTTATAAATTTCATAAAATGTATGATTTAAAATGAAGTTTGGACAGTTAAAAAGTTAATACAATTTTAACAAAAAAAAATTATAAAACAAGCACTAAATATCATCAACAATGCAAATGACAAGAGTGTGGTAGTCTCAATTGATCTGGCGGCCGCAGTGTGAGGGTTCGATTTCTACGTCTTACAAGGTATGAAATTTGACTCTTTGTGAGCACCAGTATGACAGCTCTTATACCCTGACCTGTTGAGGTACATCCCACGATTTACCTCCTCCACAATACTTTAGGGGAGGGGCAAGGCGATTGAGGGCCCTCAAGGTTGGGGTTCAACATTTTTTAACAATGCAAAAAAGAAAGAGTCATGATACATGTACAATTATAGTTGACAACTTTTGTTGACAATTATGAGTTGACAAAATCTATATTACCTATTTAAAAAACTGTTTTTTAAATCTACCACACAAATCTCGACAACACATAAATTCAACAA